ATAACCTACTATATCTGACAGTGCTGTGTAAAGGAATTTTTAAAGAGCTGTTGTTGTCTCAGTGGAAACGATACTGATTTTATTTTTTTTTTCCACTCCTTCAGTGCTAAGGCCTTCTACATTTTATGATTCACTTGCTCCTTACTGGTTTTTCCTTCATCTGACATTATAATCCTCTGAGCAGGTGAAGATAAACATAATGGAGTGTTGGTATAGTTGTTCCTAAGGAGCATGTCTGTCAAAGATTCCACAAGGTATGAATCAAGGGGATTGGCCTTGTAGGTAGCTTTTTGCTGGTTACAAAACACATTTTCTATAGATATTCTTGTATCTGTTTTTACAGAGAATGTTTAAGCTTCAGCTTAGAATAAAACTTCAAGAAAACTAACGCTGATTATTGCTTATATCTCTTGCTTATTACAGTCCTGACTTCTTCCTTTATGAAGTTATTTAATACTTGAAGTATAGACTCTGATTGCTTGCAGTTAGGCATCTAGCTGGAAAATTCTGGCTTATACATGATTATTAAAAGAAACACAGAGATGTTTAATGACTTTAAAATCATAGAGTCAGCTAAGGAAACAAAAGTATAGGATGATATTAGAAGTACTACAATTAACAACACCCTATTTATAAACAGAAGCACAAGATCTTTTTTGAGCATATATGAATAATTTTGAAAAAACATTATTACCTGTTACACAGTGAATGGTATAAATAAGCTTAGCATACATGCCTTTAGTGCTTCTACATAACTCAGTTTCCTATTCATTTTCCAGCTGTTGGTTACATTTCCAATTTCAACAAATAATTTCATAGTATGTGATCGAAAAATATCCAATGCCACGTACACTGGTACTCACACTTATACAAAATGAGGAAAACATAGAGAAAATTTTGCAGTGCAGTCAAACCTCATGAGTTAATCTTTGGAACATTAATAGCTTCGTACAGTTTCAAACGTAGTTACTAAGGCACACAACAATCAAACTGTCCCATGTCTGAAACAGCAGGATACGTCAGTCAGCATGGAGCTTCTCTTCAGCTTCGCGTTTACATTCATAGTATAAAGCAGCAGTCAGTTTTGAAAAATCTAGCTTCTGCTAATATTAAGGAAGCTGAAAAGTGACTAGCCATGCCAGACTACGATAGTTTAACTGGATTAGCACACACAAAACTAAGCTTGTGTAACCACAGGAAAAAAATTCTGAGTCAGTGACCACCGGACTGGCCCAACAATGGCCCATCCAGCTACAGGGGTACTTCTACCCTGCAGAGAAGGTGGGAGAGAGTGAGTGAATGTGCATGTGTGTATGTGTGTGTGTGTGTGTGTGCGTGTGTGTGTGTGCAGGTAAAACCAGCAGCTTCTCAGTTGTGTATCTTATTTCTCATGTGTGTCCAGTATGGTATCTTCTTACCCCAGTGACAAAAATATTTTGGCTGCTATTTTTGCTTCTGCCGTTTAGTACAGTTAGCGGTGCTGGGTTCTGATACGGACTTTGAAGTCACTGAATTATAATTGTAAAGTTAAATTACGTCCTTCATTTAACCAATGTGCAATCCAAGTGAAATTAGCTTATTGTCGAATTATGTAAGTAGAAACCAACTTTGGCCTGAGGCAAATGTTACAGCCAGAAAAAAAGAAAGGAAAAAAAAAAAGGAGAATTCAACTCTCAGGTTGGGTTTGCAGGGCTAGTAATTGAAAAGGACATCTCATTTGTAAACAAAGAAAGGCTTATCTGGAAATGACTTGACACACAATGATCGTAAGTGTCATCAATGCCATTTTTACACGTTTTCTTCAGAACAGAATGCATTAATATGCTGATTTCACCATGTTAAGAAATCAGGCATTATGTAATAATATCTGACACTTCACTCTTACCTTTAGCAATACCTAGTATCAAGATAACTCATATATTGCAAAATAAGTTGATGTTACTAATGTACATAGCCACTGAAGCTATAAAGAGTTCTCCTTACTTCAGTGGAAATAATATCTAGCCTATTTTTAAAATTTGTGTCTTTTTAAATATATTAAATGTACTACTGTCTAATCATAAAAATCACTATTTCTCATTAGGAATACTGTGAGAAATTCTTGCTTGTTACCTCTTCCTTTTTTTGCACTGCATTCTAGCTATACAAATGATACAATTTTTGTCAACTCTTGCTATACTTAGTTTGATTCTACAGTATTGTATTTATTTTTTATAGCTGTAATAACTGTATCTGAAAATGTTTTAATTAGGTATTGCATATAAGTACACAGAAATGAAACTGAAAATCAGCTACCTACCACTCATTAGTCTTATATTCTGTTATATTTGCGGTTAGTAGCTTGAGATTTAAATAGAATTGCTGAATATTTCAGTAACCAAGTACAATACAGTATTTAAAAAAAAAAAAAAAAGGAAGAGTCCTATTCAAGCACACACTTATTAATTGACCTGCTATAAAACAAACAAAAAATATAATCCTTTGAATTCCCCAGTAGCAAATTACTACCTGTATGGGTGGAAAAACCTGAAATTATTGGACACAGGTCTCTGAGGAAAACACATTAATAGCATGATTTCTCCCAAAAATAAAATTTCCAATAAAGTAAAAAGTGTGCTGAATAGCTAGAGACTTAGATTCAATACTTCAGTCTGCTATTAATAGTCTAAAATAGTTTGAGTGTTTCCCCATCCCTTTTTTCTCTTTTAAAAAAAAAAGGATAACCAAAAATATATATAAACAAATTACTAAGTAGACTTCATTAAAGAGTCCTTTCAGAACCACTGTCCATCATTATCATCATCTTCTTCCTCCTCATGGTCCAGATAGAGAAGAGCGACTTTCTTTTCATCAGAAATAACTGACCTTTGGTCTACCATTCTTTGCAACTGTACAGTTTTATCAAAAAGTGACTTTTCCACTACCTTTTCACCACGATCTTGAGAAAAACTGGAGAGAACATAGCTTCCTCTTTTATTTTCATTTTCTACAATCTGTGACTGACTAACAGAAGGGTCTTCGTTATTGGATACGAGCATTGTTGCTTGTTCTCCACTGTTTACTGTAGATATTCCACCCATGTTGGAAACATCCATTTGAAAAGTAAAAGATGTTTCCTTAGATCCTACTTTAATATGCTTTACAGACCTACTGCTCTCAGATGACTCTTCTGTTTGTGAAAGATCTTCCAGCGTTTCAGAAATAGGTCTTGTAAAGATTATTTGCTCAGCATGAGTTTCCACAGGACTTATTTTAACATGCCTGAAAGATCTATTGATATTTGAGCTTCCTGCATTCTCTGAAAGATGTCCTTCTTTGTTAATGAGCTCTGGAGTTTCAGAAAGGGAGCCTTGATATATGATTTGTTCAGTGGTTTTAACTCCCACTTGACCTAGTCTAACATGCTTTATTGAGCCTTCTGAAAGAGTCTGGTCTTCCAGTTCACTGATTTCTGTGTGTTCAGAGACAGGCCCCTGGTAGATGATTTTTTCAGCTGTCATAAACTCTTGAGGACCCAACTGAACGCGTCTGACTGAACTTTCTGTCTGTGAGAAGCCTCTAGCGTCACTGATCTCCACTTTACCAGAGATCGGTCCTTCAAAGATAACTTGCTCGGTATGAATCTCTTTGGGACCTAATCTGAAGTGCCTTATTGATCTGCTGACATCCACAGACCCTTCTGTCTGTGAAAGGTTACCTGAGCTATTGAGCTTCATAGAGTCTGAAACAGGCCCTTCAAAAGAGACTTCTTCAGTTACTTGCCTTGATCCTACTGTGACGTGTCTTGTGGACCTGTTGAAGTCTGTTGAAAACTTCTGGGAAAGATTTCCAGAATCAATCTCTTCTACAGTTGTAGTAATAGGGCCTGTATAAATTACTTCTTCTGTGCTCTGGATTTCTTTAGGACCCAGTTTAAAATGCTTCACAGATCGGCTAAACTCTGACGATCCTTCTCTCTGAACAAGATCTTCTGTAGCACTGAGCTCCAGCATTTCAGAACCAGGTCCTTCATGTACGACCTGCTCAAATCTCTGAACTTCTGCTGGACCAACCTTAATATGCCTTATGGATTTGGCCTCATCCGTTGATTGTGGCGAGTGAGAGACTTCTCCAAAATCTGCAGTTTCCAAAACGGAACCATCATAAATAACTTTTTCAGTGGTATAATACCCTGCGCCACCACTCCTCCTCACTGTGGACGAGTTATAGATTTCTTGATCAGCCAAAGGAGTGTATTTATCACTGTGGGAAGAAACATCTCCTCCTATATTGCTTCTACCATCAACAACTCTTCCCAAGCTCTCCTTCTTCAGGGAGTGCAACGTTGCCCTCTCCTTCTCACTTGTGATTACTTCACCAAGCTGAGCTACATCGAATTCATCAGTATTAAGGGTCTGTGACAGATTGACTTCAGCAACAATTGTCACCAAGCCACCCTCCCCCGTTTGATCAACTTTTTTGATATCAAATTCTAAGCTACTAGAGTCAGCTTGATTTTCTTTCGTTAATGCAGACAGCTCCTCTTTCACACTTTCCGGGAGACTGCCCTCCAGCTGCTCCAAAGCTTCCTTCAATTGATGTTTGGGGTCCTTTGTTTCCTTTGATAAAAGCCCTTTTATTGAAGTCTGAAATTCATGGGGAATTTTAATTTCTTTTTCAATAACAACAGATTCAACATGGGATGTTTCAGCTTCAGGATGCTCTTTTAAAATATGCGCACTGGCCTCCTCCCCTACCACTTGATATGTTTCTTCTGGAGAGCTTGCACCTTCATCTCTCTTACTTTGTGTGCCTTGCAAAAATTCATCTTGCCAAGAATATTTAATAGTTGATTCTTCTTCTATATGAATTTGCCCGTACACTGAGTCATCGTCTTTTTCATTAATAACAGGATGATCATCAGGAACAGACACAAAATATTTTTGTTCAATAGGAGAGTCATCTTCTTCAGTTACTTCTTCCACACGAGTGAAACCCTCATGGCGTTGTTTCTTCTTTTTAACATCTTCATATGTGAACGTTACGTTTACTTCCTCCTCATCACCGTAACGTCTGTCTCTCTCAGGGAACGTGTCTTCCACTTCCTCTACCTCAAAAGGTGTTGAAAAATCAGTCCTTTCATCAGTGGCATAATCTAGTGGCTCCTCTACAATCTCAACATTAACAGACATGTTCTTTCTGCCCTCATTTCCTTTCAGGCCATGATGTACTATATCTTCTATCTCCTCTTTGGAAGGAGTTCCCTCAACTCCCTCTCGAACCACTTTTCTAACATCCTGGTTTGACAGACCTCCAACATCAGGTTCATCAGAAATATCTATGTTTTCTTGAACTTGAGATTGCACTGTGATCTCAGTCTTTATTTTCCCATCATCTGGTTGCTCTTTCTTGTTAAAATAGGTCACTTTTGTGTCTGTTGATATTTGTGAACTAGAAGACTGTGTGAAACTTTTAAGAATGTCCGCAACAATATTCTCTGCTATATTTTCAGTCGACAGAGTTCCCATTCGATTACTTCTGTCACTAGTTCGCTCTTCATCTTTCAGACTGGATTCTGCTTCTGAAATACTCACTTGGTGAAATTCAGCAGGCTTAGTTACATGATCATCTGTTCCTCTTCCTATGGAAGTTTTAATACCTTGTAACCTTATTTCTTTACTACTCTGAGATTCTTTGTTGGGAGCAGGCTTTTCAATACTGATAGGTATCTCAATGACTTCTTTGCTTCTCGATCCCATGGTCACATTTGTACCTTTTTTGGTTGATTCGCTTTTCAAAGTTCGTTCATTAGACATATCACTCCCCGTTAACTTCTGGTTAATGACTTCCTCATGGATATATTTTTTCTGCTCAGTCTTCCTTCCCAAATCAACACTTCTTTCTTCTATAAAAGGTTTCTCATCTGTTTTCTTTTTATCCTCCTTTGTTTGTTTCTCGAGCTTATCTCTTTCTTTCAGCAGAGATTTTTCCTCTTCAGTTGGCTTGCTGCCTCCCCTTTTTTCTTTTAGTGTGGTCCGAGTTTCAGTTATGGTTTCTTCATATTTAGATGGTCTAAAATTGGTGTTCAGCTCATAAATCGGAAACCTAGTGAAGCTTGGTTTTGTTCTTATATTTTCAGAAATCCCTGGCTTTGTGTCAGGTTTGTGGTCCTTGTCTGATCTTTCAGCATGTGCTGATTCTTTTGAAAAAGATACTGTGGATGAACTCGTAACTTCTGTTTTCTTTCTTTCTGGAATTGTCTTTTGATGGATTTCACTGTTTTTCCAGCTACTGTAGGCTGGAGCAAATGTTCTTAATTCTTTGTGGTCTGTTACAATCTTTTCATCCTTTGTAACAGTCATTGAAGGGCGATATATTGAATCAAGTACATCTCTTCCAAAAGCTCTTCCACTAGCTGTTGTCTGTGATCCAGCCCACGTTGACTGAGCTGAATAACGTGCAGAGTATTTGTCACTGCTAGTATTTGTCACTGGCATTCTATGTCTTGTATCAGTGATCCTGGTAGCTGGTGAAGCTTTATTTCTATTTCTTTCTTGATAAGTAGAGTAAATATCAGTGTAGTTATACGAAGTGTTTATAATATCTGCAAAAAAGAGCATAGGTAACCAAACATTAAAATAATGGCTTGTATCTAAAATAATATAAAATAGAGGGCACGAACTAAGAAATTTTATGCTAATTTTTTGAAAGAAATAATGGCCTAATTTTCAGTGGAGCTTTGT